GAAACATAATTAAAGTTAAAAAAAATGTTTTTTTTTTCTTTTTTTTGTAAAATGTTAATTATTTATTGGAAAAAAAAAAAGTGTGCAAGTCCAACCAAGTCAGACAGGCACCACAATCTCAACGTTTCCAGGACTGACATTGTTAATGTCAAAAACTTTAACCTTAAAACCTCCAACAATGATGTTTAAACTCCAACCATCGAAACGTTTGCCCTCGTACCTTCAAAGTTTTTAGCTAATCTTATGTTGATGCGTTATTTTAATAAGTAATGATAAGAAGAACTTGAATCTGGAACGAAAATTTAGAATCAATAATATAATTTATGTCACGTTATTAAATTAATTAATATATATAATATTACATATTAAAAAAATAATTATTAAATAATATAACATAAATCAGGTCATTGTTCTTATATTTTCATCTCGTTTATCATTATTCTATTTTAATTATACTCGTAAAAATTGCATTTCATAAATAAAATAAGTTCTTGAATTGATTTTTTGAAGATCGTTTCTTCACCAGAATGTAGATCATTTCAAAACAAAGAGTTTAATACAATCATTTTTAAGCAAACAATTTAATACACTACATTGATCATTTTCTTTCTTTTGAAGAAAAGAGGTCTAAAGTCGACCTTTGATCTGTCATTGACCACAATCAGATCATTTCTCTTCATCCTCAGAATCTGACTTTGCAAAAACTGGTTCAGGCTGAGTTTGAGCGTATGCTGGGGCAATGAACTTGGGGTCTTTAGCTGCAGCATCGGCATACTTCAGTATAGCTTCTCTAGGATCTTCCTCCATCCATGTCTCCTTGATCATTCCCCCTTGCTGCAATGACAGTCAACAGTTAAGTCTCTCTACCCCTAGTTGTATTTCTACTAAAATAAGAAAAAATTTATGAACACTAGAACAAACTGAAGAGGGGAATATATTACCTTAAGAAGGTACTGAGTCAATAAGCTTCCTTTAGTTGCACCAACTCTTCCACCATGTCCTGGTCCTGTAATGGGAAGTTCAGGCTTATGGGACTTAAGAGGGTCCTTCAGTATTTTCTCTCTCTGGCGTTTACGGCTTGGCTGATCTCTAAACAGGGGCAGTGCATGAGGATTGTGAATGACAGGCTGTGCCTCAAAATCATCCATAGACTTCTTCCTTGGTGCCCGTGCAACACACACAAGAGCTCCTCTCTCACTGAGGGTTGGATCATACAGTACGTGAGTTCCTCCTTGGCTTTTGTCCCCAACTGTTGCAAAGATCTTCACAAAAAGTGGATGGTGAGTATATTTTCTCAGCCCAGGGGAAACTTTTTGACCATGCAGGTGCGTATAGTGCATTAGAGAGAGAGAGAGAGAGAGAGAGATACAAGTTGAAAGGTATACCTGATTCAGTTTTGGGTGCCAAGCACACTGGACAACACTACAAGTTGGCGATATCCCAACTCTTTGAACAAGTTCAAGCTTAGCACGATCATAAAAGCACAGCAAACCTCCTGTTGTGCTTTCTCTTTCAACAGATGTTCCAGTCAAGAATAGCTCCTCATCGGGACTAAATGCGATATTTGTTTGGGCATAGTTATTTGGAAGATCATCAAAAACTTTAAGGGCAACTTTCATTTGGCGCAAGTCCCAAACCTAACAAATATCATAAAATTTAAATAGGCAGAAAGATAATAAATATATAAAAATCAAGGGGAGAATACCTTTTTTTAGAAAAAAAAAAAAAAAGGAGGGGAAGGGGTGAGGGGAGTGAATAAACAAAGGAAACATAATGAAACAGGGCACTTTAAAGCTAGCTACCTTTAGTGATCCATCAAAACTTCTAGACAGCAGAAACCTGCCATCACTAGAAAACCTAAGCCCGGTGATATCATCAGAATGAGCTTTTTCTACATGTATATCTGGCCTGCTTCCCCATCCAGGTTTAAGGTTCCATATCTGCATGGACAAATTAAGGCCGTGAGCAGAGAATAGATGCAAGGATATGTCAACAAGCAATCCTAGCTCAAAGTTAATTAGCTCAGAACTATCTAAAAAACAGCAACAAGTACCTGTATCGAACCATCACCTATTCCACCTGCAATACATTTCCCTTCATGATCCCATGCACATGTGGTAATGGGAACTCTTCCAGGCCTTGCAAGTTTTGGTTTAATAACCTACATAATGTTTATCCAAGACATTTAGTTTATACTGTCTCCTTTCAGGTTATATAACAGCTTAAAAACCACTAAATCTTAATCTTATGCAAGGTCCTCACATGCAACAACAATGCAAGTTTCCATTGGCGAAAAGAAAAACAATAAATCAAGCAACATTAAACAGTTCTTGCCACAAAGGTCATTGCAACACGTTTTTAGTTTAGGATCATTAAAAGAAAGGCATAGTATCAGTCCAGCCAGCATGCATGGACAGCATACTGCAACAACAAAGGAAATAGAGCGAGGGAAAGGATGCACACCTGCTTTTGACTTTTGAAATCATTTACATCCCATATACGCAGTGATCCATCTTCTGATGATGTTAATATTGTCTCCTTAGTTTTAGGATGCCACTCACCACAAGTCAACCCAGATATATGGCCCTTTGTATTCTTCAGATCACGAATGTACATATCCCCCTTTACAAACTCACCCAGAGTAAGACCATCTCGGTCATATATCTGAAATGCAAATTGCAAAGGAAAACAACAGTGAGAAATAGCTATAAAACAGTAGCCTATAAAGAAATTAAAATGCAGCTAGAAGTACCTTAGCTTGTGCAGAGCCAGTGACACACAAAAAGCGGTCTGATGTGGGACTCCAACTTAGATTACGAATTTGGTGGCCTTCAAATGGTTCAAGCTGCCTAAATGATTGCAACCGAGAATTCATCCCTTGAAAGTCATACATCCGAACTGTGTAGTCATAACTACCAGAAAGAACCCTTGACCCAGAGTGATCAATGGCAAGAGCTGAAACAACCTGCAAGCATCAATCAAAAATTTCATTCCCATAGCCAAATTGCTCATCGCTTTCACCTCTTGTTCTTGCATTATACTCCAACAGCAAAGATAAGACTATTTCCATCATATCTAGCCTTCTTCAACAATAAGTCACCAGAATTCCTGAATTTTCATTATTTCTGCTTTTCTCAACATATAACTTGCATTCATTATGAAATGTCCGTCCATCAATGCTAACGCCAACAAATAAATAATAACAACACAATAGAAACCATAAGCACATAGAGGCAGGAGAAATTAGAAGCAGATACCTTTGTGTGTCCCTTAAGCACAATCTCGTTGCTCATTGGAATCCTATAGCGGTTCTCCTCCTGGCTCTCCTCCTCCGAATCCGACTCATCCAAACTGGACCCTGCTGGTGGTGGCGGTGGCCCAATTATCACTTCATCATCCTCTGAACCCAATCCCGGAGGTGGCCGTGGCGGTCCAATCATCACCTCACCATCATCATCATCATCATCATCATCATCATCCTCATCACCACCGGACCCAGGTGGAGGACGAGGCGGTCCTACCATGGCGTCAGCCTCATCCTCCGAAGGTTGCGGAGGTGGTCCTCTAGTCCCCCTATTCTCGTCTTGCCTGAATTTAGGGTTAGGGTTGGCGTTTTTGGAGTTGCGAAGGGAATCCAGCCAGCCTTTGGAGGAAGATGATAGAGAAGGAAGGTCATTGGTGTTGCTGGAGGCTGTACCGGCGGCGGTAGGTCGGCGAGTGGCGTTATGAATGGCTTCCAGAGGGGTTTGGGACTTCTGTTGCTTGCCGAAGGTCAGAGGGAACTGGGCTCTGATTCCATCGTAAATCTCTGCTTCGTCTTCCATTTCTTGCTGTTTCTGTGACTCAAGCTCCTAAACCGCAACTAGAAATTCTGAAGCTGAAATTTGGAAAAAGAAATGTGGGTTTTTGATTCCAAAATCATTTATAGGTACCGCCATAAATCTGCAAAAAGGAATCTTACAATGAAAATAGGATTTGTTCTGGTAGTTAAATTCTTAAAATGTGAAAATGAAAAAATTTAAATGCTTTAAAAAGGAGTAATAATACTAACATCTGATAATTCGAGTGGAAAAAAATTGGCTTGTTTTAAGTGATATTTTGAGTTTGAGTTTTGTTAATAAAAAAATACACATTGAAATAGCTTTTCCTTATAGTACCTGACCTGACGTGATTTTACTTCGAATGAGTTAAGATACAAGTGATTTTTAAATATCAATTTAGTATAAAAATAATAATAAACAAACCTAAAATTTGAGATTAATATGTAAGTAAGTTTAATCTATTAACAAAAAAAATAAACTTAAACTTTGAGATTAAAATATGTATCAATGATATAGTTTATATTATATTATTTAAAATGTTAAAAATTATATATTATATTATTTTATAATTAATTTTTTTAATTTATAATATTATATATCCATTGATTTATTTAAATAATAAAATTTTCCCTCTCTGTCTCTATTGAAGCCTTTTTATTTTGGGTTTTCTCCAATTCATTTCTTATTTTTTCAGTTTAGTAGAAAATAAAGATTCAATATCTTAATGAATTAATATATAAATAATATACATAAGTTTTTACCATTGTTCACAAAAACACCGTAAGATAGATACTTTTTTTGAGACTTTATATATTTATTTGTGTTAATACTTAAGTATATAATTGCCTAATATAAAAATAATTGACAATAAAGAAACGACACTCAATTAGATTATATAGGTGAAATATCTAATTCGGTCTTTTAACTATTGTACAGATCTCTTATTTGATTCTTAAAATAAAAAGATATCTGATTTGGTTTTTAAATTATTGTACAACCCTCAATTTGGTTCTTACTATTTACCAATTTGATTTAAGTTAATCTTTTCGTACAAAAAAAATTGACGTGTTTCGTTATTAATGTGACACGTAACCGTTAAGTAACTATTTTTTGTTGTTAAATAATGGATACATCAACTGTTTTTTTGTATGGAAGGACCAACTTGAGATTAAATCAATAAATAGTAAGGACCACATCAAGGATCCGTATAATAGTTTAAGGATCCAATCAAGGATTTTTTTAATTTAGGGACTAAATCAAAGATTCGTACAATAATTTAAGAACCAAATTAAGGGTTTAACCAATTATATATCCTTTTATAGATTTTTAGTTTATTATCTGGGATTTTTTTTTTCATTTAAGAGAGGGAAGTTGATGATGCCACTTCTATGAACTAGAAACATCACCTCAACCATTTAAAAGTAAAGGAATATGATAAATGTTATCACGTAACAAAGTTATACAATTAATTTATTACTCCCTTTGAATTAATTTACTTGTCATACTTTTGATTTTGCACATAATTTTCAAGTGATATTTTTACAAGGTATAAGAATAACCATTTTAATTTTTTTTCTATATGTAATTCTTGTTTAGTAATATTACTTACTCAAGTTTTTGTTTTTTGATTATCATTCATATTATACTATACAAAAGACATTACTTAAACTTATACATAAAGTTAAAGTTATAACAAGTAAATTGGACCAACAACCTGTTGGTTCGAGTGAAAAGAATTTAGTTTCCTTTAACTAAGATTTTGAATTCGAGTAATATGAATGGAGAAATTGGCACAAGGATGGCTTCTCCCCAATTAAGTCTGATGTGGTTGGATTTTGTATTAGTTGGGATTCAATGTAGTTATTGAATACCGAAAGATTAATATATAAAAAAAAAAAAAACCAAGTGAATTGGTCTGAAGTCTGAACACTGTAATTTTTAGTATGCTTTGCCTCTTGAAGATGGAGGGGAAAATTTGAAGATATAACAAATTGCTGAAGTTTAGGTAATAATCTGTTATGGCAAGCTATGGTGCCACAGAACAAACTACAGCGGTGGATTTTTTAGAAGGCCTTGTTCATTTTTGTTGGAGGAGTGGTGGGTGAAATTAGGGCCTCGAATCTCTATTCATTCGTCATTGATGTTGGGCCTTTTTTGGGCATATTCATGTTGGGTTTGACAATGTAATTTTAGATGTCTAAAACTGCCCACTTGATTGGGCCTCATGACTAGTAAAACATTGTCTCACCTCACCTCCTACGACTAGAGAGATAGGCATCTTTTGCAGGTTGAACCTCTTCTAACCTCTGTATGACAAAAAACAGTGTGGCTTTTTTTCTTTTTTTCTTTTTTTTTTCTTACATGGGGGAATCATTGGGGAAGGACATATTTTCAAATATTTGTTGAAAGTCAAATTTTTGATTAATTAAATTTAAACACTAATATTTGTGGAGGAACTGTTAGATCTGAATGATCGATTAAAAAAAAATTATCTTAATTGATTTAAAAATTTATATTTTAATTTAGAAACCTTATCTTCAAGTTTTGAGTTGATTTGGGAGCATTATACTCCTCTTTTATAGTTTATCATATGCATAAAGAAAAATTTTGTACTCATTTTTTATATATGGGTAACTAATTAAAAATTATTTTACAATCAACGTAAAGAAAAACTCTGTTAATTAAAAAAATAATAATGTAAAATCTATTTCCTAAAATTTCTTACATGTCTAACGTATCCAATCATAAGAGGGGGCGAGGGAGGATGTCTCCAATGAAGTAGCTAGCTAGGAAACTATTTTCTTTATAAAATGTTAGAGATCGTATTGTGCTTGTCTATGGTTATGTGAATAATTAAGACCTTAATGATGGATTATTCGTTATAATTCCTTGGAAAAGGTTGTGGATTGGGTGAAGGGCACAAAGCAATCTTCAGGCAATCCTAGAACTTATTTTATTGTGCCTTAAAAGGAACAAACTGGTTCAGATAAGTTCAAAACAAAGAACATGAAACGGAGGAATACTAGAAGAAGATTTAGTTGGCATCAAATCAGAATCAAAATGGAAAAATCTTGGAAAACTTGATAGACATTGATAGGCATATGTTCTTGTCCTTTAAACCCAGAAACAGAATTCTGGGTGGAATCAATCATATGCCATGTGTTTTCCCATGAGTGATCAAACTTCTGAACAAATGGTATATCTGTTTCTTGAATGTTTCATATGAGGATATAGAATGTGAATCTGATTCCATCCTACTCCAACCTGCAAATTATTACTCCTAGTGAGCTGATGACATTGCCATTAAGCATGAACATTGCACATTTATCCTGTACAGAATATGGAATCTGGAAATTTGCTGGAAAAATATTGACTGTCTAAATCTGTCTGGGACAGAAAATTCAGAAACATGGAAGAAACATATGTTACTAGTGACTGCAAAACATGCCTCATCTGCTTTTTCCATGAGGATTAGAAGAATTTGATTCTCATTGGGGGGGGTTTTTGACTAATGAAAAAGGTGTTGAAGAATTGCTTTATTCCTAAACCATATTTTCTAGGTAGAATATTGTAGCCATTTGGTCATCAAGAAATGCTTTAGTGACCTAAGATGTTCGTTTTTCTCACTCAAAAGTGGAGAATGATTAAGATATGCGACAAGACAAAAGGATATACTGTACCATAGTTGCGGATGATCAGGACTGAACACGATCAATGACTATGAGGGATTTCTCTGCATTCTTATAGATCAAAAATCAAACTAAGGAAACAACTTATGCTTGCCATATCAGAAGAAGAATAAGTTAAGTTAAAAATCTTATATTTGAACCTGTAATGAAAGATTTGAGAGGAATGGATTATTCATTATTGTATAATTTATTTATGGAATGTACTAAAACAAGGAAGAGAATACATTGCGTATTATGATCACATAATTAATTGTGTACAATCATTATAAACCGAGAAAATTCTTCTATGCAATGAGAAAAAGTAATGGAGGGAGATATAAGTATATTATTCAGCATCTACTGGTATCTCATTCCCTTAATTAGCTTCTTCTTCCAGGATCTGAGAATCCTTCAGCACTTCTAAGGCATCTATTTGTTGTGGTAGTTAAGATCGTAACAAATCATAACAATGGTTGGTCTTTTGGATAAGAAACATTTCATTGACCACTCTCTCTGATATTTCATCCAACAGTCAATTCAGCTGAGAATCTATACATCCAACAAATGACAAAGAACAAAAGGAGGTCGACGTGGGAATCTGAGGGCTAATGGTAAGATTCCTATAGCACACATAAGACACAAGCAACATGTTAATGCATGGTACTTGTTGCCCACATGAGCCTATACTTGCAGGCTTAAGATGGTCCTTGAGTGATTATTTGACTTTGATAAAATGAAATGATAAATTCTCAAAACATGATATGGTAGTAATTTCTCTTAATTCTTTTCATTCAGAAGGACATTTCATGTGTGAATTAATATGTCTCTATTATGAAATGTCATGTAAATGTTGTGAAGAGTTGTTATCAACAAACATTATCAACGAATTATTATCATTAATAAATAAAAGCCGAAAAACAGAGATAAAGCTAGTATAGGAGGACAAATTCCTGCAAATTAACTATATTATCTTTAATTATTATTAATTTCACCTATAAGAAGCAAAAGAGTTTAGCCGCTATATATATATATATATAGAGCAAATCTTAAAATATTTTACACTACAAAAAGTGCTTTTCACAATGCTCATACAGATCATCTCTACACAAAAAGTTGAAATTGATAAACCAGAAAGTTATAAAACCTAATTGTACACTTCTATGTCAAGATTTATTATGCATAAAAACACTAGCTTTAATTTCTAGTGTGCCGAAAAGTTATTAAGGGGGAAAAAGTTCCTTAAGCATGTTTAATTTATTATCCTAATTTGTTTGATTTTCTTCTCAAGCTTCCTTTATATGGAAGAATGCTTTCTGGTTCCCATCACATCTCAATCTCGAGAAAGTTCCCCATTTTTTTCAGCCAAAATCTCGTGAAAGTTCTTTGCCTTCTTCCTTTCATATATGGCA